ACTCATGTCCTCACGGTCACTCAAAGCACAGAACTCATGTCCTCACGGTCACTCAAAGCACAGACCTCAGAGTCCTGTTTCTCTTCCATTCTTGAACTGATGTTCTTCCTTTTACTGTTTTATCTCTGTTCACCACCTTTCTTGTTAAAAAAGGCACTTAAATAATTCACCATAGTGTAGTATACAGTATATCTGCATCACTCACATCATTAGCACCTGGTTACATTTGCATATGGCAGCTTAACCAAATGCTTTATGAGAAATCCTTGACTGCTACACCCCTGGTGGCAGAGCAATACATACTCATGCTCGTACTGAATTACATTTATCAGATGCTTTTATTCAAAACAACATACATTTTTTTTTGAGAAAGCAGGGTCAGCCAGTCTCTGGAACAATTGGGGGTTAGGGGTCCTGCTCAAGGGCCCAACAGGAAAATCTGCCAGAACAGGCACTTGAACTGGTGACCTTGTTATCACAGACACAGTGTCCTAACCACCTCCAAACAAACTTCATATATAAAGGCATTTTGGATTTTGTGGGACATCGCGGGATGGGACCACAGCCCATACAGGATTCGGATCGGCTCGGAAAACAGGAGGGGGCTCCTCTGACTGGCCTGAAGGAGACGGGCCTCGGATTAGCCGAAGCTCCCTCTTGGACTCGCGCCGGGGCGGACCACTCCGGGGGCGGGGGGGAGTCTGACAGTGCCGACGAAGCATCTGAGGCTGCAGGAAGTTTAAACAAAAAACACAAAACAGAATGACACATCAGCCCCCTGGACTGTCTTTCCGTTCCTCTTGGGCATGTTATCAGTAACCCCCCTCCCCCGCAGGCCACCGTAACCTCCAGCATGGCTTCCGCACTAACTGTCTGATAAGCAGAAAACACGGCTGCAATCAATGAGGGTCCGCCCTGTTTCTCCCCGTGACTAACCGTCCGTCAGGCTGCATCACCGCCAGATAAAATAGCGGACGGTCACGCAGGTGAGACTGCAGGACTCAGACCCAGAGTCATGGGTCGGGTCAGGGGCCGGAAGAGAGGCATTATTCCTGTAGGGGGCACTGGCGAGCTGTTCAGGAGGGCGTCCGCTAACTGTCACAACATACACCGATTAGCGGAGACATTTGCCTTTGTCTCTTGGATGCCTCTCGCCAGCCACACATCGATCTCTGCCTCCTTGAAAACGGACGGTGGAAGGTTCCAGAATGCACGGGGGGGGGTAACGTGTCACCCCAGCAAGTCTTTTAACTAACAATTACATCACGATTACATCAGCGGGCCTTAATTTGATCAGAGCCTGGCGCTGAGGTGTCGAAGCGAGCGACGTCGATAGCGGGACGCGCAGATACGACCTGTCAACAGCGGCCGCGGGAAAATGGATGCCTGAGGAAGCATAACTATGATAAATTTACTCCCCACATCCACACTACCCCCTCCAGCCCCCCCTCCCCCTCCCCGCCACCCCCAGCCGTCTCCCTTTGACTAATGGACATGGTAAAACTCCTCGCCAGTACCCCCCGTTCACCCGCGTGCCACCATCCCTGATCGGTGAATCAATCTCCGCGTCGACGCCAACGCTACATTAAAATAAATTTGTCACTGTAAGTTTATGAAATATTGATGACGGAGGGGGAAAAAAAATAAAAACAGAGCTAGGTGTATGTGTGTTGGGGGGAGGGTGTCTGTCGCTGTCATGTGACCGCAGCATGAGGCGGGTGGGACAGTGAGCCGCTCACCACATCACCCTGGTATCCCGGGAATACCGGTGTCTGTATGATCCGTCTGGATCGGCGCACGGGCCGGAATGCCACTCCCCTCGCCAAAGAGCCCGGGCTCCGCTCTCCCCAGTCTGATAATAAATCCTTCATTTTGCCACTTGTACCAGTACAGGTACATTGGAATTCTTATCTTTGCCGACCCCATCTTGCCCTTAATAGCTTGGGGGTCACACACCGCAGGGTCAGTTAACATGCAGTTCCCCTGGAGCTGTGGGAAGGGGGGGTTAAGGGACTTGCTCAAGGGCCCACGAACATGTGACTGTTCTGCTGAGGCTGGGGCTTGAACTGACAGCCTTCTGGTAATAGGCACAGAGGCTTAGCCCACCGAGCCACACACCACAACCAGACAGAGAGAGCTATATTAAACCAGGAGACAGTCTATCGGCAGTGGAAAGACGCCTTCCTGTTACGCGTTCATATTTATTAAAGCATCGATTCTCCTTACGCCGATTAAAACAGCCACCCCCTCCTTACACACAGGGCCTTGATTGAGCTTGAGCCCATCGCAGGAAGCATAGGACCCCCCAGACAGGACACCAGCACCTCGCTGGACACACACAGGAGAAAATCTGAGGCACCATCTCACCAAGCCCAGAAGACTGGGGGAGGAAACCCACAAGAATATACAATTATTTTTAACAGATTCTTTATTCCAAAGCAGCATAAATTTTGAGACATGCAGGATCAGAGTTCCTGGAACAACTAGAGGAAAGGGCTTTGCTCAAGGGCCCGGCTGAGAAATCACTCTGCCAACTCTGAGATTTGAACTAAAAACCTTCTGTTCACAGGCACAGCGTCTGGAATTGAACCCAGGACCCTGGAAGAGTGAAGGCCAGGTACCGCTTGCTCCATGTTTAATATAACACTTTATTATGCTTAACGTGATTAGCACTGGGGGGGGGGGGTGATATCAGCAGCACTTTTCCTGATCGCAGGATGCACTTCTTCCTTCCTGTATGAATCAGGCTCTGATTGCCAGTCTCCCAGCTTCATCAGCTAAGCCCCCACACTCGCTTTCCGCCCAATAATCCACTTTTGCAAACACTTTCAAAACAATGTGTGTTCTCGTCCAGTAGCTGGGTGCTTGGCAGTGTGACACAGGCCTGTGCAAGCCATCCGCCCCCATTTCTTGGCAGATTTACCGTGAAGGATTGCTGTCTCTCAGGGGTGAGGCCCAAAGACTGTAAGGACGATGCGCGAGACTGTCGCTCGTTTGGCTGGGGTTGGCATTGGAGATGGCCAGACTCGCAGGCTTTCCTCGCTACGCATCTATCCGCTTCACCGCTCGCTCAACCCTGTCCCCTACCTGCGCTAATCTGGGACGCCGCTGAAAATCCCTTCCGTCCCGCATCCGCTGATCCCCCCCCCCCCCCCCCCCCACCCAAAAGATGGAAGGGAAGAGCAGGGGAGGCGAAAACAAAGTGAACAGCAGGATGTGAAGAAGGCTGAGGAGGGAGGTGAACCGCACCCCCTACTGGACAGCCGGCGTTGCCGGCGACTGGGTGGCGGGCCGTGTGACACGGGCTGATCGGACGTGTAATGAGCGGGCCCTCCTCGATGGCACTCTGCAGAGGAGGCGCGTATTAATCTTCTGGCAGTCACTCCCACGCGGCAAAGGCTCCGGCAGGCGGCCCCCAGGGGCCCGAGGGGGACTGATGCGTGAGCCTCGTGTCAGTGATGAATGGAGTCGTCGTTAAGATCTTTTTAATAACCTTTAGAGGGAGCCCTCCTGAGCCGAGGCACATATACATACCTGCAAACGGGCCGTCTCGCAGGAGGGGGACTAGCTCCTCCAGAGGCCCCCCTTCCCCACTCCGGTCTGGGGGCCGACCACCTGTCGCCAGAGCCACGAGGGAGGCCGGGGGGTGAGGTTCAGGGTGGGGGGACTTCACGTCTGACAGGCCCGTTAAGCACGTCCGTGTCAGTGAGACGGAAACACCTGTCAGCCGCCGAGATCCGTGTCCCCGGGCCGGCACCCCCCCCACCCCCCAAAGGCACGCTTGCACTCAGGGTGGGGGGGAGCCCCAGCACCCAATAAGAGTTTATTCAGGTTACAGCTATTTCCTGCAACCTCCACAAGCCGAACAAGGAAGATCCTTCCAAGAGGAGAACACAGCGGAAGGGAGATGCACATCGATCCCGGCGGATGGCGGTTCCCGCCACAGGGTGGGGGCCCGACCAAGTGCCCGGCCGCCAAGGCCCCCAGTAAAACACAGATGACGTTTACTGCCGGCTCGGGCTGCTGCCATTCGTATTTTACACACGGTTGGGGGAAATATATATGTCCAATTTGATTGGGCCACTGCCAGCTGCGTTGAATTATGGGTAACCAGGACCGCCAGGTCAATGACGGGAGCCCATAGATGCACCGCCCACACCTGTCGGGTGGGGCAGGCCCAGGTGGCCGTCGCACCCCCCACCCAGTTCGAGGACCACTGCAGGTGGGGGGCGGCAGGACAGCGGCCAGGCACCCAGTGCCCCCCTGCCCTGGATGTCTGCGTCGTGGAAAGTGCTGTGGCCATTAATAAGCCCCCTCCCACCCCGCAGCTGTGGTTATCACAGGGCGCAAGAAAAAAGAAAGAGGGAGGAGGAGGAGGAGAATGGAAACAGACGCAGAGGAATGTATGAGCGGGACCGTAAATGAAGTGCTGTGGGCCACAAAGGAGGAGCAGGAGCAGGAGCAGGAGCAGGAGCAGGAGCAGGAGCAGGAGCAGGAACATGCCGGAACATCGGCGGAACATACAAATCTGATGCACTGAGCATTGCATCAGGGTTTAAAAGCGCGTAACATCACACACAGCCACATAAAGCCAAATAGAACCACACAAAGATCAAGCCATGGTCTCCTAGGAGAGAATGATCTAAGGATTAATGCAGGAAGAGAGCTGAGAGGGCAGGTTACTAGTGTGGGGGGGTGGGGGTTGTTATGCAAGAGTCCATTTCATCAGTGTCCCATCCTGCTCAGAGTGGCAGCTAAACACGGGATCATAACCCAGTGGTTGTGGGTTCAAGTCCCTAGTAAGACGATGCTGTTGTACCATTGAGTAACATGGACAGCTCACCCCTTGCGTTTGCTGCTGGGCCAAAAAACTGCAAGCGTGTGAAAGTCACGCGTGAGACACCCACGTGAGGCACAACTGATCTGACGTTAAAACGACCCACAACAAACAAGATAACAGCACAAAAACAGCACATGCCCTGGGGCTTGATAAATATCACGGGAAGAACACTCACGTCACAGGTGGTACGGTTCAGCTCTCCTCGGAGAATGTCACATGATCAAGCTATAATCACACAGATCGGTATGCATTTGGTCACTATCAGGAGTGTGATTGTCAATTGCTAGCAAATTCGTGACTAAACATAGATGCCGTCTGCAAGGGCAATTAAAACCCGTGACAGCTGGGGCTTCCTTCTTTATGGTTTCAGGACATCAACACATGGGGGTGTATATATTGAAATTTAAAATTTTTATCCAAAGTGACATATATTTTTGAGAGGAAGCAGGGTCAAACAATCCCTGGAGCAATTCAGGTTAAGGGTCTTGTTCAGGGGCCTAAAAGTAAAAGCTGGGATTAGAACCAGCAACCTTTCGATCATAGTCACAGCCACACATCAGCCCCATACGTATGTGTGTGTGTGTGTGTGTGTGTTTAAGCAGTAGGATACTCTAGTGTTCTTCTAGCAACTTTACAGTATAGATGGGATTTAATTTCAAAATAAGAGCTCTCCACCGATTAGATCCTCTAGAAAAAAATGTCATATAAAAATCTCATTAAATAATATTACAGCTGCTGGAACAGTTTGGAACTCCAAAGACCATCCGAATCAAAGGCTGGCTGCCCTGAGTCAGATCCAAAAAAAGAGCCGATGCAGTCCATCATGTTTTATGGGCACGCGAGAGGTCAAAGGTCACACAGTGACCACCAGCGACCGAGGTTTCTAAA